GTGTGGGTGACGTGTGGCTGATCTTCCCTTCAGACTGAGATTTATGTTTGTCACCCTTTCATCGCCACTTCGGTTCTTAGCATCATGGCCAGTATGCTCGATTGGCTCATGTTCCACTCCCGTCCCGAGTTTGACCTATGGCTCACTGCCGCGATTGGCCATACCGATCTCACAGCCTTTCACTTGGCCTTCATCAATGCTGGTCCCTTGCACTCTCCTACGGAACTGCATGCCAAGATGACAGAAATAGTCGAGGTGATAGACCGGGGAACACTTAGTGGAGCACCCCAGGCCCGTGTGACCGCATGCGACTCATTTCTAATGGGGTGCGTGGAGGATCTCGTGGTTGATCGTCATGATACGAAGTTCCTAGGGCACGTGTGCTCCATCACCTTCTGGTGGATGTGTTTTGATCAAGACCACATGGCCGTGGCTGCTACTGCTATGGCTGCCAAGCCCTTCTGCGAGTCGAGCATTTCTGCTTCATCTGTCGAGCTCACCAAGCACGAGTTCAGTGAGACTCTCACTGCCTCCGCTTCTCATGCACAGTCCATGGTAGGTTCTTTGGCAGGGTCTCCCGAGCCTCCCACTCCTACTATGTCATCTGGCAAGGTGCCTGCCATGCGTGCTAAAGCCATTACCCCTGAGGTTCTCCGAGAATACCTGGATATCATCTGCAATACTTCTGGGGTGCTTAAGCAGGTGCTTGTCGATTTTGGCAAGCCTTGGCCTTCTGCCAAGGTATGTCTATTTTGTTCAGTCAGATATACGCGTTTACTGACTTTCTGCTTCTAGTGTTCTCGCTGTTCTCCCACAGATGAATGTCTCATTGTCCCTGTTTCTCAGAATGCCAGCACTTTGCGTGCCTGCATTCACTGCTGCCTGGGGCACACTTCATGCTGTCTTCTCAAGCCCGCTCCTGCATGTATGTCCACCCATTATTTGGCTCATTTTCTTGACTTAGTAGGATCTCTGTTTGCTAGTTTTGACCAACGTGCGCGTGGAGACAGAGCGCATCTTCCACCACATCCAGAATGTCTGACTGGACCAAGTCTTTCTGATGGAAGTCTTTGAGCATGAACACTTCCTCCTGATCACCAAAATCAATCGGTTGGGACTCTAACTGGAGGCTGTGAAGGGATGGTTTGATGAGCCAAGCGAGTCTCCATCAAGCTGGACTCATGTAGCCCATTCTCTGTCCAGTCCTCTGTATGATAGCCTGAGTGGTTGATGTTGTCTTTGTAATGCGTACTCATTTTCTTTGCGCAAAATGAAAAATTGACTCGTCCTCTGAGCTTCTCATGTGTCTCGGTTCCACTTTGCTGCCTTCTGGATAGAATGCCCTGCCCTATTGTGCTACTATAATTGGGCTTTTGCAAAGTCAGACTTTGGTACTGCATGGTCGATGTTTGTTTCACCATTATTTTAAGACACGCCTATTGGTCCAACTTGACGCGTCAATTTTTGTCCTTGCTGTCACTGCTATGGCATCTAACAACTCACCTCCACTCTCCCTCATTCTTCTTCACTGCTCCTGGGTGTGCCCGTACCCATGGCCTCTTCTTTTCCATGAATGCTGTTGCAATCTGTCAGTGTGCTGCCGGTTCGTCCCTTTTCTTTCATGTCCCTTCCTTGATGGCTAACATGGCACTCCCTTGCAGTCTCATTCAAAGACCTCTCCGCAGGTCACCACCACATGTCTCAATCTTTACGATGAATGGAAAGACCTTCAGGTGGCCCGTACTTTGGGTGATGAAGGTGTGATAGAGACTGCCGTCAAAGCTTTCGCGTCCTACCTGGTGAGCTCGCTACTCCAGGTTTGTTGCTGCCATACTAAACCTCTCTGTTTTTAGTCTGCTCTTGATGATATCCCTGAAGAGACCACGCACGTTCATGCCAAGAACTTCCACAAGAAGGCCCAAGCTTTGTTAGACCCCATTGCATGTCCGTCCTGGTTAGTGTGGTGTGAAGAGCTGTTGTTCTCAGGGCAGGCTGCTGCTCTTTCTGGGGCTAAGGTGTGTGATTGCATGCCCTTTGCCTTACTGATCCTAAAAGGCCATGTAGGAACCAAGCCCTTCTCCGTCTTCCATTGCGTCTGCTCCTACGCCCATGGAACA